TTGAGGAACAAGAGAGGCGAATGCAGAATTAAAAAGACGTTCATCATGGAAAAGTGCCCTATTCATGAATTTTAAAAGCTGAAATTTGTACATATCGTCAAGTTTTAAAATTTTCGACTGTTTATATAACACACTAGTACGAGTCAATGGGATATTGTTTTCGTCGTACCTAACCCGAAATATTGTACGCAACGATTTATTAATTAAGGTGATGACCCGTTTCTTTGAATTAAAAGGTACCCCACCCCAGATTAGCAACGTGTTTGATAGTTTAGATAAGGACAATGAGCAAAAAAGCGTTCTTAATGATGGAAGAGGTAAAACACTAGATAGAGCACGCAAGACTCCGTGGGCTTTGCTCAGCCCCTGACAGACGTAGTTAATGTGTTTATTGTAGGAAAACTTATTGTCGATTATTAAACCAAGATATTTAAAATCATCGACCCATTCTAAAACTTTCCCATTGAAGGTGATGTCACGTAGAAAGGAAACGGGTCTAGGAGTAAAGAGCATCAACTTCGTCTTATCTGTATGAGCCACAAGCCTGTTCTTTAAGAGCCATCTAGACAAATTCACTGTTAGCTCAGAAACATAATCACACGCTTCATCGTAGGAACTTCTAGAGACATATAGGACGGCATCGTCGGCAAAAAGCTTGCAGTTTACGTTAAAAGACAAGGCGATATCATTGATAAAATATTAAAAAATAAAGGCCCAAGTACAGAGCCCTGATCAGGTACACCTATATTGATGGGTCCTATGGGGGATTTGAAATCATTCAATGCGACAAACTGCTCTCTATTCGCTAGGTAAGACTGGATAAGCAAAAGGAAAGGCCCTCTAATACCATACCGGTGGAGCTTATTCAAGAGAATTTGGTGATTTACACAATCAAAAGCCTTTTGTAGGTCTAGAAAAAGAGCAACACAGTAATCTTTAGAATGATAAGTCCTGAGGAGATCCTTAACTAGATAAAATGTAGCCATTGTCGTATTAGTACCCCTACGAAAACCGAACTGATTATCTGATATTATTGAAAATTTGTCGAGAAAATTGGTGAGTCTGGAATGGAGAATTCCAGACTGCCAATCAAAACATCCTATATATTGCTAATCAAAACATCCTATATATCGCCTATCAAAACATCATATATATTTCCAATAAAACATCCTATATATTGCCAATCAAATAGCCTATATATTGCCAATCAAAACATCCTATATATTGCCAATCAAAACATCCTATATATTGCCAACCCAAACGTCCTATATATACAATCAAAACATCCTATATATTACCAATCAAAACATCCTATATATTGCCAATCAAAACAGCCTATATATTGAAAGAGTGAAGCTATTAAAAACAAATAAAAAAAAGCTTTTAAAAACCACGTTTTCTTAACGGACAAAAAAGAAAAACATTAATTCTTACATAACATTACATAACATTCTACATAACTTTAATGTTATGTAAGAGTAAATGTTTTTCTTTTTTGTCCGTTAAGAAAACGTGGTTTTTAAAAGCTTTTTTTATTTGTTTTATTTCATTATTTTTAGTTTAGTAAAAACCAGTAAAACGTGGTTTTTGATAATATTTTTATATTTATTTTCTACTTTTTTAGTTAGCAATTTTAGCAATTGAAATCGATTTCCAGGGTTGTCAAGTGTGGATGTTCGAGAAAAAACTCAATTCCAAACCGTGAATTTTTCGTGTTTTTCTTATTTTTTTATAATTTCTGTTTCCGAATTTTTTTTTTAATTATTATTTCTGATGGTCAAATCTTGAATTGTTAGGCAGCATAAGCGTGCATGCCAAATTTCAAGTTTCCAGGATCTTCAGAAGTGCTCTAAATTAAGGTTTGAATTTTTGATACAGACGGACACGAAGCGAAACTAAGAAAAACGTGGTAATAAAAAATCATGACTTCTAAATAGAATTGAAAAATAAATACAAACACATTAAGAAGAGAGCTAAACAAGTCACACAAATAACACAAACACACAAACTTGAAGTAGTATACAGTATATCAATATACAGAATAAACATGAGCCAAGCTCGCACACTTGTCTGTGTGGACAGAACACACATGTGTTGTGTACACGAGGTAATATAACACATGTGTATTGTGGGTGAATTGATTACGCATTTTGTGTTGGGGGACAAAAGGGGACTTGGTGTGTTGGGGGACAAAAGGGGGACTTGGTGTGTTGGGGGACAAAAGGGGGACTTGGTGTAATATTATTATTAATCCTCATTTCCCTTCAGTAGATAACATGAATTTTTAATTTGAAACCAATTCATAACTGCGTGTCTATACGCAAGTCTAATAAAAAAAATAAGTTTTCAAACAAAATAACATGATCTGTATCATCTATTTATTAAAAAGTTTAAATAAACAGTTTAACTGCGTCAATGAAAGTAAAATGATTGCGGCCCTGTATGAAAAACGTCAATAGATACAAAAGCGAAGCTTTAAGAAACTTTAAGATGGAGGCACCTTCGCCGCCATCTTGTTCCACGCCGCCATCTTGTACCGCGGCTGCGGTTGAGCCTGTCATGGATGACGTCATGCAGGCCGTGGGCTTCGGCCGCTGGACGTTCATGTTCTTCTTGGTCGCCGCTATCGGTAAGCAACAGCAAACAATTGATCTTGTTACTAATTAAGTTGTTTTATTCCTGCACTCAGAGAATTAAGTTAAGGTGTGTCCAAATACCGACGCGTTTTTTGCTTTTTCCCTGATAAAATTTAGGTACAGCCTAGGCTTCTGTCAAAGAGTCGCTACAATCGGCTTAAAGCTTTTCTGGGTCTGATTGGCCACTCGGACAAATCAACTTCTGGTCAGAATCTCCTTTCCGACTTTTTAGTCGCATGATAGTATGACAAGTGTGACCTGATTTGTACAAGAAGAGTTGACAGAAAGAATAACAGGAGTGTGCTGAAAGTATGACAAGTGTTTCATACCGAGTTTCCAGGCAGCCCAGAGGCTTCCCTTTAATACAGAGCCGAAGCGGATATTAGCGGCTGATTTATGCGCTCCCCGAGTCCTGGGCGGCACCTGATACAGGGAGGCGACTGCATCTAAAATGTCTAAGAGTTCGTTAGGCATCCTCACCCATTAAGTTTGGCTCAGAAAAAGAGCGTTTCAGTGCTAGAAACTGGATCTCTATTTAGACAATATGATTCAAGCATTTTTCTGTGTTTGTATCTATGATAAATTAAGCCGAAAAAAATTAAAGAAACGAATTAGACTTTATTGAAATTTCGATGCAATTCTTGCTCTTCTATATGTAATCTTGACCCACTTTGGTCCACTAAACTGGGTATCAGTGCTAAGTTCGCGCTTTGTCTGTGCTGAGAGTAGGAAAGTGTGTCACTAGTTGGACAAAATGATCCATTTATTTTTATGTTTAAGTTGACCTGAGTTGTTCTTAATTTATTATATTTTTCCTAATTATTTTCTGACTGTAACCTAACCCATTCTTTCTAAGTACCCATGTCTCTGGTCGAGAGTGTATAATATTTGGACCTTATGGCCAATTAATTTAATAAAGTAATAATGACCAAAATTCGTGTTTGATTAATTAATTAAATAATTAATAAAACGTAACGTAATTACGTGTAACGTGATTAATAAAAGGTATAAATAATTATTAATATAAATAAAATTTTTTTAGTCAATTAAAGTAAATGATTATAATAATAAAAACTAATAATTATTAGGTAATAAATAATTATTAATAATTAACAAACAATCAATAACTATTATTTTATTTTAACATTTTCTTTGATTATTTATTAAATAATAATTATTTTTTATTTAATTAGTTGATTATTAAAATAAGATTTTGTTATTAATTTCAATTAATGTATAAAAAGTAAAAAAATAATATTTAATTATTTCTATTTATTTAATCAATAAGTTCTTTAAGTAACTAATTAAATAATCAACTAATTAATTAATTAAATAATTAAACATTTTTCGCATTAATCCGGCAGTGCCCATGTCTCTCGTCGGGAACCTGTTCGTCTCTGACTTCGTCACGCCGTCTCTGGGCTTCACGTGCACGTCAGAGACCGACGACTGGTGGGACGACTATGATGACTATGATGACTATGATGACTATGGCGACTATGGTGACTATAGTGGCGACTATGGTGACTATGAGTTCGAGGATCTGGCAATCAACGATAGCGATTCTTCGCACTACACGACACCTAAAGTGCAGAGGTAAATGGATACACTCAAAGATTTACCCCAACAAAATTTAGAGTCGCCCCAGCTTCAGGGCCTATACTTTCTAAAAACGTTAAGAGATCGTAAGTTCATCAGCCAATCATTGACGGCCTTTCAAGCAAAATCCACCAATCATAGACAAGAAAATAGAGCGTAAGTACTTACGTTCACTTAGCAAGTTTTTTTAAGTATGGCCCCTGGTACCTAATCCAAATCAGAAGCTGCCGCGTCTGTAAATTTTCATTGGGTATGTGGGATTTTTTGACCAAATAGCGATTCACTTCTTACCCTTGAATGAGTCATACATTTTGGCACTGAAAAATTTGGGCGTATCAGTGCTGCGTTCATGAAGTGTGTCACTATTTGGACGAATTGACCCATTTCTTTTCTCAGGGTGTGAAGACTTATATATGTGAATATTACGAATTCGCAACTCCGGCAGCCAATCACAGACGAGAAATCGCACGCTACGTGTACTTAGGCTGCTACGTGTACATTAGGCCGCTACGTGTACTTAAGTAGGCCGCTACGTGTACTTAGGCCGCTACGTGTTCTTAGGCGGCTACGTGTACATTAGGCCGCTACGTGTACTTAAAGTAGGCCGCTACGTCTAAACCATGCAGCCAAATAATTTTAGCTCTAAAACATGAATATCTCGTATATATAAAAATTATCAATGATTTATCGCTATAATTTTTATTATTTGAAATTGTTATTTATAAAAAAAATTAAAAATGTATAATTTTTACAAATTAATAATGATTTATTGCTGTAAGTAAGTTTGTTAGCAGGAATAACTTCACGGGGCGCAAGCTGCTGGACGTCGCACCCTATGACCCCGACCTTGTTGCTACCCCCACCACCCCGCCCCCCCGCCCCGACCCCCACGGGGAGCTACAACACGAGGTGGAGGACTACAGGTAAGAATGATTATAATTATACAAATAAATAAAAGATATAACTCAGTACTCACTGCAGTGAGTGACAGAGAGCGCATTTTCTCGTCGACGAAAACTTGAGGTCACGGACAGACGGACAAACGGACATGGCGAGCGCGATAGTGCATTTTTTCCATAAATGAGAAAACGCGCTGAAAAGGGTTAATATAATATTGTATATTAAATTAATATTTTTATTTATACATTGAAATTCATTTTTTATTTAATTAATATATGTATTTATACATTAAAATTAAAATTTTAATTAATTAATATTTATATTTATACATTTAAATTATTATTTTACATTGTCTACATGTATAACAACTAACCCAACGGTATCATTAAACCTACCCACACTCGTGGCAATGAGTGGTGGATTGTCCAAATTTTGATGCACCTTATCCCAGTGAAAATTTACAGACGTGTCAGCTTCTGATTTGAAGTACCAGAAGCCGGGGCGACTCTAAATTTTGTTAGGAATATGCCCGCTTGGGTAACTTTTCACCGCTGGGCTAATAAAACAGTCAGAAAAATTGTGTCTGACTCTACCATGTTATTTTATGATATAATGTTCATTTTGTACATTTACCATAATTTGTGTAATATCTAAACCCGGAATCCCCTCCCACTGTGTGATATCTACACCCCCCCCCCCTCTTACCAGGGAGAACTGCAGGGAGGCCCCCCGCGCGTCGCTGGGGGTGGGGGGCGTGACGGTGCAGGAGGGGGCGGCCTGCAGGAGCTTCGAGTTCCTGCCCTCCGTGTACGGCTGGACCGCCACCGAGGAGGTGGGGGAGGTCTCCTTGGGGAGGGAGGGGTGGGGTAAAAAGGGGAATTAGAGGGGAAGGCCCTAACAAAATTCGGGGTATGCTTCAGCCTCCGCCCCAGAGTTGCTATGTTCGCGTAAGAGTTATTCTGGGTCAGTTGGCCAACTGATCGCAATCAGCGACTAGTCAGAACCTGCTGGCCGACTTTATGGTCTCCTGAGAGTAGGGCAAGAGTTGGCAGAATAAGTACCAGGCGCTTGTAGCTGTCTGATTCGGGGACCGGAATGTAGACCGAAAAGCGGACATAGAGAAGCTGGTGGACTATGCTCCCCGAGTCCTAGGCGTTCCTTAATCCAGAGCCGTTCTCGGCTTTAAATTTTCTTAGGGGAGAGCATAGACAAGTGCGTCATGCCGAGCTTGCAAGCTGCTCAAATAGGCTGTACTTTAAGTCCGGCCGCAGCAGACATGAGCGGCTGATTTACGCGCTCCCCGAGTCCTGGGCGGCACCTGAGTCAGAGTCTGGCCAGCATCTAAATATGGATACGATTTGGGGACTCCTAATTCTGATAAATTCAATCGAATTAAAATTAGTGTCCTAAAATGAAATGAATGATATTCTAAGTAAAATAATTTAATTACAATTATTCATATTAACTAAAGACATATATCAATAAATTGTTCAGTATTCGCTGGTGTGCGGACGGGCGTGGCTACGCGCGGTTTTCCAGACGCTCTTCACCGTCGGCTGCGTCCTTGGGGCGGCCATCGGGGGGGTGCTCTCCGACAGGTGGGGGGGAGTGGGTTTGTTGAGATGATGATGGGGGATGATGATGGGGATGGGGTAAGTGGAAGGGGGTATGCGGGGTAATAAAGAGGGTATGCGGACAATATACTATAATATAATATAATATAATATAATATAATATATCATATTATAGTAAAACAATATAATATAAACCTGCGCCCCCGCAGACACGGCCGGCAGCGCACAGTCTGCTGGGGCAGCGCCCTCGCCTGCGTGGTGTCCCTGGCGGGGGCCGCCGCCCCCTCGCTGGAGTTGCTGCTGCTGTGTCGACTACTGCTGGGGATCACGGTCTTCATCGCCGTCAACCCCCTCACTACACTGGGTGTGTGGTGTGTGGTGTGTGTTGTGTGGTGGGTGTGGTGTGTGGCAGGTGTGGTGTGTGGTGTGTGGTGGGTGTGAGGCAAAGTGGGACTGATAATGCCAATCCACTAATGAGGTCTGAGAGACAGACCTCGAAATTACCGACCAGATACCTTGACCTCACAGGCCATTAACCCTCTATATACCGCCTAATATGAGTAACCGGAGCAATATTGTCACAGGTCTACTTCTCCAAAAGGATACGTTCTAGTGAGCGCAAAATGACTTGCACTGATGGTTGCCGCCACGTACAACAACTTTAAAATGTTCTCTGTTGCGTACAAACGTCCTCAGGTTGCTACACTCAATAGTTTACGTATAATTTAAGTTGAAAGTTTAGTTACCGGAGAGTCATATACGGCGGTAGAGGATTAAGGCGTTTGAGAAAGAAGTGGTCAGGAGGCTTTATCAGTATACGGAAGATGCTGAACTATACAATTGTACAGTTCCGTACCACCAACGCTTGTACGCTTCCGTACGCTTTGTCCGTACCACCAACGCTTTATACTATATAAAGGAGGGAGCTGGTGCAGACGTGGTACACATTGACTTTGCGCGAAAGCGTTTGACAAAGTCGATCATCCCTATCAAAATTTTGAGTTGGTGGTGACTCTAAATTAGTAACCGCCTAGGACTCGGACCGAACTTAAATCAGCTCCTCTATGTCCGCCTTTTTATCTACATTTATCTACATTCCTACAAGCGCCTGGTCCTTATTCTGTCAACTCTTGCCCTACTCTCAGGAGACCATAAAGTCGGCAAGGAGGTTCTGACTAGTCGCTGATTGCGATCAGTTGGCCAACTGACCCAGAATAACTCTTACGCGAACATGGCAACTTTGGGGCGGAGGCTGACGCATACCCCGAATTTTGTTAGGGATGGGATGTTCTTCAGAAAGCTAAGACTATCGGAGGTGGGAGGTAGATTATTAGGTTTGATCCACAACTTCTCTACACACAGGGTACAAGCTGTCGCAATTGGAGACTCAAAATCGAGTTAAGCGAGGGTGAGAAACGTAGTGCCACAGAGCTCGATGCTTGCATGGTCCGATCCTCTTCCGCATCCACATCGCTGACATTGACTCGTATTTTACTAGCGCATCTATATTATCATTTGATACAATACAAGAGTGCGGAATCCGATAACAGACAACCTGGCCTGCGAGAGGTTACAGCTAGGAACACCTGTCGATAAACTACGATTATGCCCTAGGGAATAATATGCAATTCAACGGCACCAAGTTCGAAGTAATCAGATACAGCACTGGGATGCTGCACCGCTACTTGGAATCGGGCGGCATGCACAGTAATCGAAGTGAAGCGGATTGTTTAAAACCTCGGAGTGTTAATGAGTGCTGAAGCCACGTTCGATGACCACATTGCGGAAATAGTTGCGAAAGGCAGACAACGGATTGAATAGACCTGGCGAACAATTAGAACAAGAAAAGAGGAGCCAAAGATTACACTTTTCGGAGATCTCATGTTTCCCATTCTGGAGTTTTGTTGTCAGCTTTGGGCGCCACTCAAAGCAGGTGCGTTGCAGCAATTTGAGGCAGGTCAACAGACTTTCACGTCCAAGATCAGCGGGATAAGGGACCTGCGCTGCTGTGACGGGCTGGAGCATCTGGGTCTGTACTCACTGGAGAAAAGAAGGGAGAGGTGTATCATTCTGTACACTTTGAAATTTGAACACTCTATACTTAGAAAGTATAACATTCACAATAGTGACATCACAATGAAAGGAGGAGTAAACTCTGCAGGGTACCCCCATTAGACAACCTACTTGCGGCCAGAATTCAGATTCTTTGGGAAGTATCTCTTCCCGTGGCAAGACCGTGGCTGTTCAACGCTTTGCCGCAGAAGCTGAGAGGAGGGGTCTTCACCCTTAAGACATTCAAGAGACGACTGGATGCGTATATGAGTAAGATCCCGCATTGTCCAATTACGGGCCAAAACCCTCAGCAAGTGACAAGCAACAGCATCTTGAAAGTCAACAGTCACGTTAAGAGTTGTCTCCCGGCCCTCGCATGCCAGAAAGTCCCAAACTTGACATAAAGACCCAAGGTGGTGTGTGGTGTCTGCTCTGCCGCCTCCTGCTGTGGGTAGCGGTCTTCATCGCCGTGAATACTGAGTCTTTGGCACACACCTGTGTGACTGTATAGGTGTGGGTGTGTTCCGATTATAACCCTCTGAATATACTGGATGTGTGTAGACGTCAATCCACCGACGAATCAGCCTGTGTCTCCCCTGGGTGTGCAGTATAAATTCTGCCATTTCTTGCGATATTGTGCACAATGAGAAATTAAAAATAATATACTAATTAATTATCTCGGCAGCACTGGAGGTGTGCCCGGCATCCCACCGCCACCTGTACGGCCCCATCGAGAGCCTCCCCTACGCCGCCATGTTGCCCCTACTGGCCGCTGCTGCTTACTTCTGCAGGAACTGGCGCCTCCTGCAGCTCTGCATGGCCCTGCCCCTCCTGCTCGCCCTCCTGCTCTCCTGCCCGCTGTAAGCCCTCCTGCCCGCTGTATGCCTCCCTCCCCTCCTGCCCGCTGTAAGCCCTCCTGCTCGCCCTCCTGCTCTCCTGCCCGCTGTAAGCCCTAATGCCCGCTGTAAGTCCTCCTGCTCGCTGTAAGCCCTCCTGCTCTCCTGCCTGCTGTAAGCCCTCCTGCCCTCCTGCCCGCTGTAAGTCCTCCTGCCCTCCTGCCCGCTGTAAGCCCTCCTGCCCTCCTGCCCGCTGTAAGTCCTCCTGCTCTCCTGCCCGCTGTAAGCCCTCCTGCTCTCCTGCCCGCTGTGAGCCCTCCTGCCCGCTGTAAGCCCTCCTGCCTGCTGTAAGCCCTCCTTGTAAGCCCTCCTGCTCTCCTGCCCGCTGTAAGCCCTCCTGCTCTCCTGCCCGCTGTAAGCCCTCATGCCCACTGTAAGTCCTCGTAGTCTCCTGCTCGCTGTAAGTCCTCCTGCTTCTTTGCCTGCTATAAGTCCTCCTGCTCTTCCTACTGTCCGATGGTCAATTCTGTTCCATCCTACTCCTACTTATGCTTCCCTTAAACAAAAATGAAAAAAGAACAATTCGTAGGAACAATCGCTGTATGAACTCTTCAAATTTTTCTCTTCAATTTCTATACATTAAAAATTGAATAAATAAATGAATCCCCTCGGGGGCGGCAGGGTCATGGACGAGTCCCCTCGCTGGCTGCTCCTGAGGGGGCGTCTCATGGACGCCGAGAGGGTCATACGGGGGGCGGCGGCCGCCCACGGCACCCAGCACCAGCTGCCAGCTGGGCTGCACCAGCTGCTGGACGCTGTGTACAAGGTATAGGCTGCACCAGCTGGTGGACGCTGGTGGGTCATCCTGACACACTTGTCCCGGCAAAAGGGCGAATCAGTGCTACGTCCGCTCTCTGTTCTTGGTGTGGGTAAAAAAGTTTGTCATAATTAGGACAATGTTCCATTTATTTTACAACACTTCTCTTTACTTTCACTTCTTGTCTGTCTGCTACAAAACGTATAATCAATATTCAACACGCTTCTACCTGTCCAATCGATCGGAAATTTGGCACCCTTGCGTAAAGTCGAAGACAATGCATGAATCGATTGACACAATAAAAAATTTTAGGAATAAAAAAATTTAAAATTAGAAATTTGAATTTTTGTTTTAAATATTTAAAAATAAAATAAGAAATTAATTGTACATGTGTAGCATCGGAGACACTGGCCTCTTTATAAATGTTGTCTTTAATATATAATTTTTAAACGCATATTATGTATTACTGACTGAGCCCCTCCCCCTCCCCCACCCCAGCGGACGCTGAGGTCACAGGGTCCATCGTCCGCCTCCCTAAGGACGCACCTGGTGTCGCTGGTGTCCACCAAGGAGATGCTGACCATCACGGCGGTCACGGCTGCCATGTGGCTTATGGAAGGAGCGCTTTACATCAGCCTCCCTCTGAAGGCTCCTGAGTACAGGTGGGGCTGGTGGCCATCGGTGGCCATCTGGAGGTAGTCGAGAAGGCTGATGGCCATCTGGTGACCATCTGTTGGTGATGCAGATTGTCGGATTCTATTTGGCCATCTGGCGACCGCCTGGCATGGCGACCAATCACTGCCTGAGTGCTATAAAATGTCCATATTTTGACATAAAACATAGATATAGAATGCGATACATAATAATCATAATTTATATCATAAATAGTAACCATAATAACATAATTTCATTAAAACCTCGAACAAAGCTTATTTTTTAATTGATCACTCATGGCAATGTGCGATACTCTGTCCAAATAGCGATACTTTTTTGTCTTCATTCGGGTCATCCTGACCCAGTTTGGTCCGCGGTGTATATCAGTGCAGGACACACGTGCAGGAAGTGTGTCACTCAATGGTCAGTATGACTCATTCATACAATTGAGTGATATTTTCTAAGCTCATTACAAATTTTCTGATGAATCGAAGTATTTCGATATACAGTGTCATCAATATTTAGCGTTACAACTTTGAGTGGTTAGAACTATGAAATGAAAAACAATTGTGAATGTTTGAAAATGTATTTATGTAGGCAGAGGTTCAGGGATACAATTCCCTCGATTTCATTCAAAATGTCCACCATCTGCATCAATAACGAGTTGTAGACGCTTAGAGAAAGCCTTACATGAGTCACGAATAACACTCGATCTGCGGGATTTTGGCCCACTCCTTCAGCAGTTTGACCTCTAGGGCGTCCAAACTGCTATGGTGAACGGTCGAGACCTTGCTCTCAAGGTATGACCAGATCCCAAAAAGATCCCAAAATCCAGAGGATTCAGATCGGGTGACGATGATGGCCATTCATCTTTGGTAATGAAGTGGGGAACATTCTCGGACAGCCACTCCTGAGTCGATTTGGCCCCATGGGATGGTGGAGTCCTGCTGGAACGACCAGGGGCATCATAAATAAATACCATAACCTCCGGGCCAGGTCCCCGTTCCTGTACCTGGGCCTGCTGGGCCTCCTGGAGATGCCTGGGGCGCTGCTGGTGGCCCCGCTGGGCCGTCGCCTGGGCCGCCGCAGCGCCTGCGCCGTCCTCGCCTGCGTCTGCACCGCCGCCATGCTGGGCCTCGGCCTCCTACGCCTCCACCAGTACCCTAACGGTGGGTCATGGTGACACACTTGTGCCTTGGCGGTGGGTCATGGTGACACACTTGTGCCTTGGCGGTGGGTCATAGTGACACACTTGTGCCCTGACGGTGGGCCAGCTGACCATTCATTAATAATATATATAGTACATTTAATTCCTGTATATTATATGCATTTTATAATGTTACTCGTGTAGAGTTTTCCAATACCCGCGTATATATAACGTTTCACAGCGCAGTTGCCATGTATATCGTTCATCACTACACAATAGACATGTAGTATATTATTTTTAAAACACAATTATCTAGTGTATCACTACGCAATTTTGTGGCATGTTTCACACATCACAATTATCTTGTGTATAACTCATATCAAAATTCGGGGACCGCCTAGGCTTCGGCCGAATAGTCGCTACACTCGGCGCCAAGCTATTCTGGACTTGCTTGGCCATCCGATCGAAATCAGCTTCTGGTCAAAATCTCATCTCCGATTTCATAGTCGCCTGAGAGTATGACAAGGGTTGGCCCTGCCGAGTCATACCGAGATAGCACGCTGCCCAGAGGCTACCCTCTAAACCCAGAGCTGAAGCGGACATGAGCGGCTGATTTATGTGCTCCCCTAGTCCTGGGCGGCACCTGATGCAGATCCGCTCCCACCTTAAAATTGTGTTAACGACTACACACGTGTGCCATATTTCACACAATTGTATGTATGTTGCCACACAGACGGGGTGCTAATGCTGCTGTCCGTGATGGCGTACACATCGCTCGTTGGAGTCTCGCAGGTTCGACTTTTTTGTTGTATTGTATTTTTGTAAAATTAATCTATATCATATGAGTGTTCTATAAATTATTGTTGTAATATTGAGTAGTGTTATATTTTTGTTATTTCATAATCGTTAATATACGTAACTTCTAACTTGTATGAATAATATTGACCAATTTATCTTTTTTTCAATCAATATTATGATGATTTGAATCATTAAAATGTGAATCAAACAAAATTTTAAAGCAATGGAAAGGAAAACAAAAACTACTACATTTCTGTTAAAAACGTTTTCTATTTTTGGGGAGTGGATTTGAAAAGTGCCACAATTCCCTAAATATAATTTGTGCAGTTGATAGTATCGTAAAGGAAGATTCGCACGTAAATGCAGTTTTACCCAAGATGTCACGATGTCCTTTTACCCCAGATAGTGACGATGTCATGTGACCCCAGATAGTGACGATGCCATTTTACCCCAGATGTTGACGATAACATTTTACCCCAGATGTTGACGATGACATTTTACCCCAGATGTTGACGATAACATTTTACCCCAGATGTTAACGATGACATTTTTCCACAGATGTTGACGATAACATTTTACCCAGACAGTGACGATGCCATTTTACCTCGGACATTGACGATGCCATTTTACCCCAGACAGTGACAATGCCCTTTACATCAGACAGTAACGATGACATTTTACCCCAGATGGTGGCAATACTGACATCAGAACTATACCCCACATCGGTGCGGGCTCTGGGGTCGTCGGTTGGGTACCTGGCCAACTGCGTGGGCAACTGCCTGCCCCCCTTCCTGGACGTCCTCCTGGTGAGCACCTAATGTCGTTCATTTCTCAACAAGTGTCACTTTTAGACAATTTAGCTTTGCGTTTCATTGATTAAAAGAAACAATTTCATTTATTAGGCACTGTAGCGCAGTGGTTAGCGCTAAAGAAAAGCAAGTTAATAGTCTTTTCCGGTGTCATTGGTGGGCGGCGCTCAGTAGATGTCAAATGTGGTGCATCAGAGTTACCATAGGCGGTGTCCAAAATGAAATCTAGGTACATGTTATTTTGAATTTTAGGTCTCGAGGCAATATTATTATATTTCTTGAAAATACTGTCGTTATATTTCTCGAAAATACTGGAAATGTTGCAATACTATCTAGTCCTGCAATCGAGCCTAAATATAACGCTCCTTGCAGCCTGTTTGTTCAATTGAACGTACATGATTTACCGAAAAAATAGTTTGAATTCCTCAGGATTTGATTTTAATGAAAAGTTGGTTCCATTAACCTTAGTCCACTGAATTACCTAGCACCGTTTAAAATAAATTTCCGGGTGTTAGGTGCATTTGTATTTCCTCCCTATTGGTTCCATTTGTCTCATAACCCTCTCCCCCCTGTCACCCAGCCGGCGTGGGAGAGCTACGTCTCGCTATTGGTTCTATTTATACCACAATTCCCCCATGTCCCTCAACCAGTGGGGGAGAGCTACGTCTCGCTATTGGTTCTATTTATACCATAATTCCCCCTGTCCCCCAGCCGGCGGGGGGAGAGCTACGTCTCGCTATTGGTTCTATTTGTACTATAATTCCCCATGTCCCCCAGCCGGCGGGGGAGAGCTACGTCTCGCTATTGGTTCTATTTGTACTATAATTCCCCATGTCCCCAGCCGGCGGGGGAGAGCTACGTCTCGCTATTGGTTCTATTTGTACTATAATTCCCCATGTCCCCCAGCCGGCGGGGGAGAGCTACATCTCACTATTGGTTCAATTTATACCATAACCTCCCTAATGTCTCCCTATTGGTTCTATTTGTACTACAATCCCCCTCCCCCCTGTCCCCCAACCGGCGGGGGGAGCTACGTCTCCCTATTGTTTCAATTTATACCATAACCTCCCTCATGTCTCCCTATTGGTTCTATTTGTACTACAATCCCCCTCCTCCCTGTCCCCCAGCCGGCGGGGGAGAGCTACGTCTCGCTATTGGTCTACTCGGGGATGGCGTTTGGGTGCGCGTTGCTCGCTCTCTGTCTGCCCGAGACCAGCGAGCGCCGCATGTACGAGACCGTGCACGAGCTCGTCACTCACCAGCGCGGGACCTCTGACCTCGCTGACCACGAGCGCAAGAATCTCCACGATGACGTCAGCTACGAACCTCTGCACAATGACGTCAGCGACGACGGGGATGACCAAGATGACGACGACAGCCACGACCATGTCACTCACCAGCGGTCGAAAACATCTTGCCTTAATATCGTCTGACGAAGACGAGGAGTCAACCAGTGGGTCTGATGGGCTGAGGTCTGTTGCGAAAAACTGGTTGATTCAACCCCGATTATTATTTACGCCTAAGGTAATTATGCATTCTCAGGTTGATAACCTCCGTTCACGACGTTGGAATCATGTTGAATTCTAGTCCAAAATGATCAATGAAGCTACGTCATTCTTGCAACGTTGTGTTGACATTACAGTACAACATTGAAATGATGTTACTTGTAAGATTCTGTTTCAACATTTAAATTGTGTCGTTTAAATTGCATTGATAAAATTCAGGTTTTAGGTCTGCATTGATAATTTTTGGGTTTTTAGGTTAAATTAACGTATTAACCTTGTATATTATTTTTATAAACTCGACCGAATTTCATTATCGTATCTGTGACAGTACTTGAGCACCGTACTATAAGCAGCTACATTAGGAAACTAAAACGATGAAGCTATATATAGACAACCCAATTATCCATTTGCCTTATACCTATTTCAAACTTACCCGGGATCGAACCCTGACGTTTTTCTTCGCAATTCCTTAGCGCACTTTGCTGCGGTGCACCTTATCGCAGAGTCAATTATGGACAATGCAAACTAACTTTTTCATGCCGTAAAAAGACACTTCTTTCTTAATATTTAATCTACGTATTTCATTTATTCTCACTACATTTTACGCAAGTAACATGGATCTGATTAAATACTGGAGACTACAATTATTTTAATACCTTCATTTTTTATATAATTTCATCTAAACCAGTTCTCCCCGACAATTTCAAACTCGAATAGCACATGCAGGCTCTGTTGAAATATCCATAGTTGGTTTACGGAAGAAGTTTTAGAATATACTAGTTAAGAAGCATAGGAAAAATTAAAATCGTGCATTTACTTTAAAATTAAATATATATATTTTTTCAAATGAAGGAAATAAAGTTCTTTTAAAAATTTGTTTAATTATTGAACTGGCGGGATTTTTGAATATGTGCAGGTCAGATCTATTTTTTATACCAGTACTTTTGTTTAAGTAATTGAATTAAGGCAGAATGATTAGGAGGTTACCGTATAGAACGGGGTAACTTGAACCAATGACGGGGTGACTTGGACCATTGACGGGGTGACTTGGACCATTGACGGGGTGACTTGGACCATTGACGGGGTGACTTGGACCATTGACGGGGTGACTTGGACCATTGACGGGGTGACTTGGACCATTGACGGGGTGACTTGCACCATTGACGGGGTGACTTGGACCATTGACGGGGTGACTTGGACCATTGACGGGGTGACTTGCACCATTGACGTCATTCGATAATTGTTAACTTTTTATGAATAAAAAGCCCATACTTCCAAATCCATGAAAATAAGTTTACCACTTACTAATTCTCCAGACAGCAATTTAACGCAGTTCTTGTAACAGTTCATTGTTAAGAGGCGCCAGAGGGCGACAGTGGCGCGAGTCAAGTTGCCAATTAGCATATATTAAATCGTCAAACTATCTGTATTCACAGTCGAAACGAAGTTCCATATATTTTTACGCTGCAAAATAATGATTATATTGAAGAAATTAATTTTTACACAATTAGAACGACATATACACAAATTCCATATATTTTTACGTTGCAAAATAATGATTATATTGAAGAAATTAATTTTTTTACACAATTAGAACGACATATACACAGTAGTGGCAGTACAAAATTTTATGATCTTTAAATGTTGCACTATCTGTCACACTAGCGGGAATGTTCCGAAGTTTGTTATGCTGAACGGGTACTCGCACTCTCTGTAACTATTTACCTACATTTATTGACAACCGTCAATATCGTTCTTCCTACTTATAGCCAATGCACTAATTCTCTGCTTACACGCGAATTAAGTTAGCTCGACCACGCAATATGAGGCATTCTTCATGTCCAGCTTCAACAAAACATTTAAATTTGAATATGGAATTAACTTATTATACACGCGCTAGGTGGCACATAAGAATTGATGCATTGTATTGCCTCAAAATTTACACTTAGCATCTATATTTACATTGTTAATAATGGTTCCACAGCTGAAAACTGCCAGCTCAGTGGAGTCAAACAATATATAAACAACATCCTAGGAAGGCACTTGGCCAACTGAGTCAAAGCGCTGATTTCCCTGACTCATATGTAGCTTTGCTGCGGCTTTTGCTGCGTGAAGTAAAGCAAGTGGGTCACTCTGACACACTTCTGAGGATGACTTACTTCTGGAGGCGAAAATTTCTCTCATTGTACGTACATGCCAGATAGTTTTCTAGTATGTATCTTGAATTCAATTCAAAATTTTGCTATAAATTTCATATTCAAGAAGAACATCTCATTGACAAATTCAGTAGAAAATCGCGGAAGGAAGGTTATAGGAACATGTACATTGAAGATTAGAAGGTGTCTGAAAACAAATTTTAAGGATCCTGTTGTTTCCCTTCGTTAAAATGATAATCATAATTAACGTTATGTTTATTCACTTATTGATACTTGACACCGCAACAGTTTTTATTACCCAAACCTAATAATTGAGGATAAGGAAATACTTGTTCATATATAAAAATTTTCATCAATTTTTAACGTCCACAAATATATGACTTATTTCACATAACATTATTTTATCCGTTTACACATATTTTATATTATCCATATAAATAAAGCAAGCATTGATTAAACATTTGTTTTTCAAGTTCAAGGATAAGAACATTAAGTCATTTATTTCGAAACATATTATGTTGACATAGTGAGAAATTCATTTACCGATGTGTATTCATTACGAGTCAAAAAATTCAGCATTGGTTCTAATGAGACTTTGAATGTATGGAATTGCGTAACGAAATATAGATTAAAATGACATGATGAGTTTGATGAGTAGAGATGCTACATGAGGTAGAAGGACTATCCCGAAAGTTTTATGATAAGCAATTCCTAAAGTACCAATTTTTAAACTAATCACGGTAATTAATGTACTAAATTTGAACCGCAATCGAGATAGGAAAGATTGTTCAGCAAGCAGCTAATATTAAATATCATTGAATAGCTAACTTAACTACTACGGTAATACCTGAGACGTACGGAGTATCAGAAGCGTCGTAGAAATATCAGATAACTTAAGCTGCAATTTACGTTACGAATTTTCCTCCAAAATTCCATTCATATCGAAATAGCATAACTAACGGCAGTCAAATTAAAACTATTATCTATTAATATCTTTGGTAGTAAACTTTCAGGAAATAGCGTTGAATAGGAAAACGAGATATAGTAATTTTGAACTTATAACGACTCCTCAGTGATGAGGAAAGTAACAACGTTCATCGTGGGGATTAATTTAGTAGTCGCTTTTATGTAATAAACATATATTCAGACAGCGTATTTTTTTACTAACCATCCGACTGACCAAAAACACAAGATAAAAACAAGAGTTATGAAAGAATTATGTATGTTCAAAGGGTAGCTTCAATCGAAGAATGACGTTAAAATGGGACGTCGCTCACACACGGTTGCCTTTCTGGTTCCTTCATTAACAAAATTATCTAGTTTATGCTTGAATTTGATAATTTTGAAAAGATATTTTACTTCAGTTTAGTACAACTCTACACACACCAATTGGAAAACTATGTTTAAGAAGAATTTAGGATGGACTATTGCAATCTATTACATAATTACATATATAATCATACAAATATTATCATTACATATACATATAATATTAAAAATCACATTGTATCATTGGCATTGGCGGATTAAATAGGTAACATTAACATTGATCGATTTTAGTAATATAAAAAATTCGCTATCAAAGCATTTTGATAGTTATTTAAATATAGCACCATAACAAATTTACGGTTGAACTGAAATTTCTATACGTTAGCAAAAATTTTGTTTTAATACAACGATATAACGATATTCTCACGCGAAATAAACTATGATCATTTGCCCCAATGTTAACTTTCATGAAATGACTCAGATTTTATGCACTTTTCGGAAACTTATAAGTCTTTGGTAAAAAACAATGGATTTCAAATTCATTTCTTACTCCCATAAAAATAAATTGCAAATGCAATCAATTATAATTATTTAAAAACTATAGTGAATGTTAATGGACTGAAGTTCCCATGAATTCAAATCTTTCAGTAACAAATTCGTTCTTAATTTGTTTGGATTTATTGAAACATTTTTGGTAGCGCATGGTATCTTTCGGACGTAGCAGTCCCAGGCCACGCTGGAGACAGGATGCTGTTGTTTAGACAGCAGCGCTCGACTCAAAATTTTGTGAGTCAGTAAAAATGACTCACGACTAATGGCAGTGTGTCAACATGACTCACGGGCAGTGTGTCAACATGACTCACGGGCAGTGTGTCAACATGACTCACGGGCAGTGCGTCAACGGTGGTTCGTCGCAGATGCGTAGACGTCGGCAGTCATCTCTGAAGAAGTAAAAGAATCACCCTTAGAACGAAGTGATGTAACAGTATTTAATCTCCTTTTTTACAACAATTCTCTTTAACTTCACTTCTTGTTTGTCTGCTACAAATCTTATAATCGAGATTTAACACACTTCTACCTGTCCAAACGATCTGAAATTTTTTTACACTTAATTGCGTAAAGTTGTAGACAATGCATGAATCAATAGACCGAAAAAATAATTTTGAAAATGTAAATTTTTTTCGTTGTGTCTAAAAAAATTAAAAAGTATTTTTTTTATATAAAAAATATAATAATAAATTCATTGTACATGAGTTACTCGTTAACACTGGGTTCTTTGGAAGTATTGTCAATAAAAGTAATTTTTAAAATTATATTATTTAATGTATCTACTACAACTTTTAAATGTATCTAAATAAATGTCATACACCACAACGCCCTCGCCTCAGCCTCAATGTTTCCTACGATCCCAGTCCCATTATCTTAAACCCATCCTCGTCTCACCCCCCAAACTTCTCTAACCCCCCCCTTCACCCCCAAGGCTCGGGGCGCGTCGCCCCCGCATCGCTGGTGCGCACGCCCCCCTGCTGCAGGAGCGCCAGCAGCTGCAGCTCGTCCGCCTCGCTCAGGCCTGACTTACGCAGGTCAATTCTCTCGAACCTGATTAATTAATTAATTATTAATAAGAATACGTCAATCGTGAAGTTCATGAAGTTATTTGGAAATGAATATATATGCTAACCAGGAGTTAATAGTTAACATTTTTTTAAATTAGTAAAATATTTTGAAAATGTATTTGTACCGGAGTTTGAGAGTACAACTAACCTGTTCGTTGTAGGAGCGTAAGCCTGCACGGTGCGGGCCACGGCCCCCCAGTCCCCCGCCTGGGCCCCCAGCACCACCAGCTGGGGGGGCGGCACCGCTGGCAGGGGCACGGCACCTCCCTCGGTGTCACCCACGGGGGCGTAGACGCCTGGTACATTAATTATTTACAGTTGAAGTCAATATCAAACTATTACTATTATTATTATTATTACTATTACTATTGCCATTACTATTACTATCACTATTATTATTACTATTACTATTACTATTGCTATTACTATTACTATTATTATTACTATTACTATTGCTATTACTATTACTATCACTATTATTATTATATATCACTATTACTATTGCTATTACTGTTACTATTACTGTTGCTTACAATTCAAATTGCTACTTTCATACAGATCATGCTCAATGTTTGCCTATCATTACTGACAGAGAGATGCATATTTGCCGAGGAGCGCCCCTAGGTCGAGGGGACCCATTATCCTGATGGAGAAATAGGCTGGAGGAGCAGCAGTTGCAGCCAGAGCTGCCACGCCTGCAGCCGTGCCGATACAGCCTTCGAAAGTTTTGATCTTGGATCTGCGTAACGTAAACTGGAATGAATTAGTGAACTGGG